CAACCCATAAAAAACCCCTAATCAATCAGTCATCTATTAGCTATTATCTATTACTCTTGGTATTAGTTAATACCAAAGATTCATTTTTCCCCCTAAAATATTTGTTTCCAAAGAATGTTTATCTTCATCTTTAATGAGTCCTGCTTTCCTCTGTGTTCTCTTGACAGCAACAAGTTTTGTAGGGAGTCTGTTACCTTTTTACACATTTATTTTAATGTTTAATCCAGGATGGTAAATTTCTTCAAAAGCTTTCTGGAAATAGAGCTGGTTTGTCTTAAACATGTTCTTAACAAGTTATGTAGTATTCTATCCCCTGCACCCAATGGTCAGACAACAGTAAAGTAATTCACTTCTCATCAGTAGAGTTCACAGCACTCTAAATAAAATATTCCCTTACAATGTAACATTTTTATATCAGCAAACTCAAAACTACTATTTCCAATGTTGCTTCCTCATATTCCTCCTCTCTCATAATTCAAATGATCAATTATTATGCTTGATCTCATTTTTATTTCCAATGCTGAAAATACTATTAAAAGTATTATGCTTGACCTTCTTGGCATGTAAAAACAAAAACAAAATTATTATAAAATAACTGCAACTATTTGTTACACAAAAATTGATGTTAAAGTTGGGATACTCAAACATGCAATAACCAGTAACTAAATGTAGACATAATTAAGACAGTCTCTAGTTTAAAGAAGCTGAATTCAAGGCATGAGAAATTTGGTAACTACAATATAGTAGAGGCAGGGAGCTATGGTAGCTTTATGGTAAGGAGCTGTGCTGCCAATGTGAAGGCATGTGGTTCAAATCCACCAGCTGCTCTATAGAATAAAGATGGGCAATCTCCTCCTATACAATTTACTGCCTCAGAAAACCTATTGGAGGGTCAGCTATGTGTTGGTTCTGACTTCACAATACATAACAACAACAAACACTAGTATAGGCATATCTCCTAATTAAAATACTTTAAAACACAGTTTGATATAATCTGATTGATTAATTAGGATATGTAATATGTACAGCATAGACATCTATTGGTAATATATGGGATACTACTAGCTATTAGCATGGTGAACATACTAAAAACAAATTTTAAGTGCACAGAACATAGTCAAAGAAGGATAGAAGACAATCTGAATGTTGGTCAATGACCCAGGAATTTAGTAACTCTGGTTTGATCTTACAATGTGCTTTTCAAAATTTGTTGGATTATGTCTAAGCTAAATTTGTCAAGTTTTATGTATCAGTTTATAATATTTTAACATTATAGAACTCTATCGTTTTGGGGATTTTTTTTTCTCACTTTTTTACTGAAAATCCTAAAAAAAACCCATGGCTTTAACTAGTATGAATCTTACACTCTTCAATCCTAACCAATGATTTTTATGCATTTTTAAACATGTAAACCTTCTCTGGAAACATAAGGCAAATTAGAACAGAAAAAAGTATCATATAGTAAAGAAACTACAAGAATACAAACAGGAATGCTTAACCTGAACAGAGTATCATTAAGAGTCATCTCACACTAGAAAGCTGGAGCTTAGCAAAAGATGAATGACAAACATCAAAGTAATTAAGAGAAAGCTTTTGTAGGTAGAAAAAATAACTACTAGAGCATGGGTAAATGCACAAAAGCATAAAAGTTATAGTACAAAATAAGTGTATGTAAAATATTTATCATTATATTTAAATATAAGGAATCAACATTTCTCTTCCCTCTTATTTAAAAAAATTAAAAGTGGAGGAGGGAGCCAGTTGCAATACTTTCCATTTCAATGCTTCTACAAAATCTATCTTTAAAAAAAAATCATTGTCACTAAGTCAATTCCAACTCCTAGCAACCCTGTATCAAGGGTTTCCGAGGCTGTATGGAAGAAGATTATTCACCTTTCTCTCTTGGAATGACCCACAGATTCAAACTGCTGACCTTTCTGTTAGTATCCTGACATGTTATACACTGTACCGCCAAGGCTCCAGAATAACTCTAATAATCTTATGTAAATTCTGGGTAGATAAAGAGTTCCTCCTGAGCAGTTGGGGGAGGGGGGGAGCAATCCTAGGAATGATTGCTTGTCAAGGAGAAAGCATATTTATACTAAGAAAAACGGATGAATATAAAAAGATACAGCCTTATGCCAAGTAAATCAACCACATCCTAGATTTCAGATCCTATAAGCCTTCCTTAAAATGTGCAGTTTGAATCCACCAGCTGCTCCACAGGAGAAAGATGAGAAACTTTCTACTGTGTGATTTCATGCTTGTGGAAACCCACAGGAGGGACAGCTATGAGTTGGTTCCAACTCGACAGTACACAACAACCAGTCCTCTTAACCAGGCAACACAGTGCAGTGCACAAACAATACAACTATATAATGTTTAAAAACAGTCCTTCATTTTGTAATGTGTCACGCCTCTATGTTTTTATGATCCTATTTTTTATTGAGCTGAGAGTGGTATTAATGAGGCAGGATCAGGGCAGAATGTATCTAAGTCTTAAACTTACTAAGAGTATGACCCAAGTTACTAACTACCCTTAGTTCCCTTAGGGGTGTGCTTTTAGCCAATATAAATAGGATTATTCAAGAAAGATCTGATCCTTTTTGCTCCAAATTCTGCATCTGATCTGATCCAACTGCCCTGAAAACATTCACTACCTACAGATTCTCTCCATTGGGCCAATTGGTAGCATCATTATAGATGGAGAAGAAAGTGACTGGAATTACTAACAATTTCAGCTTCCTTGGTTCCATAATCAACACTCTTGGCACCAGCAGTCAAGAAATCAGAAGACGCATTGCATAGGGAAAATCTGCTGTCAGGGACATCTCCAGAGTACTGAAGACCAACGATGTCAGTCTGGTACCAGGCCATGATCTTCACAATTACTTGCAATGCATCAGAGAGCTGAGCAATGATTAAAAAGGATGAAAGAAGAATAATCGATGCCTTTGAGTTGTGGTGCTGGAGAAGAGTATTGAACATACCACAGAGTGCCAAAAGATCAAACAGATTTAGCCTAGAGAGGGTGAAACCATGCTACTCCTTGAAGGCAAAGATTCTGAAGCTTCATCTCATAAAATTTGGGCATGATGCCAGGAGGCACCAGTTCTTGGAAGACATCATGCTTGGAAGAGTAGAGAGAAGAGTGCAGAAGACCCTGGATGAGATGGATTGACTGGGGCAATGGGGGTAGGTGTTTCAGAGACAATGAGATTGGCCCAAGGTAAGGCAGGATTCAGAGCTATTATACACAGGGTCACTATGAGTCACAGGTGGCTTGACGGCACATAACAACAACAACATTACACTGGTAAACTAAGCCATCCATCATTCATCAGCCACTGTGTCCATCTAGGTCAGATTAAGTCCTCCAGACTAAAGCCTGGTCCACAGATTTAAGACTTGTCAGCCTCCACTGTGTGAGCTACTTCCTTCATGGTTTGTGAGTTTCTGTGAAATGATGCACTGAATTATAGAACCCCAAAACAAAGATGAAAGATGTAAGGAAGAAGACTTAGGAGAAATAGTTGATGTTAGAAATGAGAGTGAGGGAGCTCTGGTGGCCTAGTGGCAAGAAGCTGTACTGCAACCCCAGAGGAGCACGGTTCAAAAGCACCAGATGCTTCTCCTGTACCAGTCAGATCCAATTTGACAGTGCATGCACCAAAAAAAAACCCCAAAATTCTAAAAAAAGAAATGAGAGTGGTAGAACAGTTTGGAAAAGGTGGACACCTGGTACATTTTTAACCTCTTAACAACCTGCCTCCGGAAACTCTATGAACTTTGATAAATGTCGATAGTTGTAGAGGGGCTTCAGGCCTTTTGTTCATAGGATCACTCTGAATCATGCTCAACTCGAAGGCAATCAACAACAACCACCACCTTATAGGAATTAGCTTTGCATTAATCTTTCTAAAACTTTATTTATGCAACAGTCATACTTGACAGCCTTGAGAAATTTGCCTTCCACTTAGAAACAGCACATAGATCAGCAGAAATTTAACAGAGACCACATGAGGGGAAGAAATCCTTTTTTCACCCTTCATTCAACAAATATTTATTGAATATAAACTATGTGCTAGGGCATTTGAAAGACACTAGTGAACTTTCTGGAATTATACTAAATGTTAATAGTTACATTATTGAAGAAAGTATACATTGAGATAGAGATGGGGAAAGGCAGAGATGGAAGGAATTTCCTATCATTTTCCTTTTCTATAAGCAAAGATTATTTTTATAATTTTTTAAAATAAAATTTAATAGAGGGGCACGGGATAAAAATTATAGACTGGAAAGAGAGTATGGGACACTTTTCAAGATTCACAGCATCTAACTAGGGGGAGTCTGGTGGCCTAGTGGTAAAACGCTGCACAGCAATCCCAAAGGTATGCAGTTTGAATCCACCAGCTGCTCTGTGGGAAAAGGATCAGCATTCTGCTCCCATGAGATGTACAGTCTCTTAAAATCTGCTGGAGGTTCTATGAGTCGGTTCCATATCCATTACATACAACAACTAGGTAAAGCCTATGATCTAATTAATTAAGTTCGAACTTTTGAAGTACCTTGGTGGGGGAGTGGTTAAGTGCTTGGCTACTAAAAGGTCAGCAATTTGAACCTAGTACCTGCTCTAGAGAAAAAAAAAATGACAGTATGCTCCCATAAAGATTTAAAATTCTGCAAATTTTGTAGGGCAGTTCCACTCTGTCTTATAAAATCACTATAAGGGAGCTCTGGTGGACTAGTGGTAAGAAGCTGCACTGCACTACTGAAGGTGTCTGGTTCATATCCAGGAGAGCATCTGAGGAGGGGCAACTTCTTCCTGTGCCAGTTAGATCAGATTCGACAGCACACAACAAGAAAATAATCTTTTTTTTAAAAAAAAAAAAAAGATCACTATAAGGTGGAAAGGATTTGGTTTGAGTTTTGGTTATCAATCTTATACAATGGAACAGATCACAGCAAGATGCTATGTAAAAAGTTGAAGCACTGCTTACCTTGAACACTTCAGAGAAGAAGCCAGACCCTATTTTCTCACAGGTGAAGTCATCCAAACGCGTCAGTCTGGAAAAGGCACTTATAAGAGCTTGATATGAAGATGACCACATTCTTCCAATCTGGTTCACATTCCCATCTGCTCCACCACCTCCTTCAAAATCTTCAAGACGCTCCACACGTGGAGGAAATCCTGCAATTGAATTCCGTTTGCTCCGATCCATAGTTCCAACTATTAGTTATTTTCTTCTTTTAAGAGGGAACTCCGCACATAATAATTTTTTGTTGAGTTTTACTTCTGTTCTGGTTTGACTCTAAAGAAGAAATGGGGAGAAAAAATGTGTCATTAAAAACATCAACATGCAAAGCAGTTACTTACTGCAAATTTGTATGCTAACTTCAGATTTTCAAATAAATAAAAAATACCTTACATAGCTCTGGTGGCTTCATTTAGGTAAAGAATTGTGCTGTTAACACTAAGGTACATGTTTCATATCCACCAACTGCTCTGCAGGAGAAGATGAGCAATCTCCTCCCTGAAATTTACTGCCTCTGAAAACTCACTGGAGAGTGAGCTACAGGTCAGTCCAACTTGGAAGTACACACTAACAACAATGAGAAAAGTGTAGTTTACATCTTTACTTTTTTTAAAAATTTTTCTATACATCTTTACTTTTAAGAAGCACTAACTTATTTAAAGCCCAAGATGTAGCCAGTCTTTTTTTTTATGTAGACACTCTTTCACAAGACAATGAAGATCATCAATTATATCCTAAGTAGCAAAATAAGAATGATAATTATTGTCTATCTATCATTCATTGAACCAATTATTAAGGAAACATAGTATCAAGGAAAAACATTAATTTTACATAAGGCATTTAGGGAGAGTTTCAAATAGTATATGAGGTTACCTAATCATATTCACTAAATAGCAGAGATAAAATTAAAATGCAAGTATGATTAAAAAGCCTATGATCCTACTCTTTATAATCTCAAAATTTTCTGTTCCTTTTATAATATATTAAGTCCAAAAATATAAACACAAAGACAGCAGGGAGAATTTAAAATTATATGTTATATAATTTAAAAAAATATTTCCCAAACCAATTTTAAAATTCAATGTTGATTCATCAGCACAGTCCCACAGAATTGACTATAGAAAGCTCCAAACATCTGGTACATGAGTAAAAATAAAAGCACAAACCCACTGTTTTTTTTTAGTCTACCTTCCTACTTCTTTTTCCCCATCAATTTCATGATAAGCATTCTACACAAAACAAAATGGTGATTAACAGGTGGAGCAGCAAATCAAACAAGAACCACTAGAAATTCAAGTAAAATTCAGAAGAGACCGTACGGTAAAGGACATCATTATTGGCATAATATGGATTTTAGCTAAAAGCAGAGAATACCCAAAGGGTGTTTACTTGTGGTTTTTTGTAAATCTGCAAAGGTATTCTACTGTGTGAATCATAATAAACTATGGATAGTATTGTGAAGAAAAGAAGTACCAGAAAATTCAATTGTTCTCATGTAGAATCTGTACATAAATCAAGAAGCAGCTGTTTGATCAGAATAAGGGGATATTTCATGGCTTAAAATCAGGAAAGGTATGTATCATAATTGAACCTTTTCACAACACCTATTCATTAGGTATACTAACCAAATAATCTAAGAAGCAGGACTATATATATATGAAGAAGACTGTAGCATCACAATAGAAGGGAGAAACATCAACAACCTATTGTTGCCTATTGGCCTATCTTGCTTGCAGAAAATGGTAAAGCTCTTACTGATGACGTTCAAAAACTATAGTTTCAGTATGATTATACTTCAACATGTTAAAAAAAATCTTCCTCATAACTGAACTCATAAGTAACAGCATAATAAAAGGAGGGGGGATGGAATTGAAGCTTTCAATGACTTCATTTTTCTTAGAGCCAAAATTAATATTCATTAAATCAGCAGTCAAGAAATTTAAAGGCATATTTATTGCCATGGGTATATCTGCTGCCAATGACTTCTCTAAAGTTGTTTGTTCACAGGATCATTATGAGTTATAGTCAACTCTATAGCATCTAACAACAGCTAATGGAGGGTGCTCTGGTGGCCTAGTGCGTAAGATGTGCTGCCAACTCAAAGGCACACAGGTTCAAATTCACCAGCTGTTCAATCAGGAAAAAGATGTGAAATCTTCCTGTACATTCTCTGAAAACTCACTGGAGGAAGCACCTCTTCAAAAATTATGAAGGGACCTGGAATGGGACTGCATTTTATCTGCAGATTGCTTTTGGTAGTCTTGCCATTTTTCACAATGTTGTCTTCTGATCCATGAGCATCATATATTTTTCCCCCCCTTGTGTAAGTCTTTCGTTTCTTGTAGTAATATTTTATTAGTTTTCTGTATACAGGTCTTTTAATCTCTAGGTAGATTTACTTTTAAATATTTCAAGAAGTTCAACTTTATAAGAAGAGGGTAGCATCAGAATCAAAAGTAGATTCATCAACAGCCTACATTATGCAGACAATACAATCCTGCTTGCCATGAAATTCTTGCTGCCATAGATCAAGGAGTAGATCCTTCAATATGGACTGCATCTCAACAAGAAAACAAAAATCCTCACCATCAGGCCAATAGGCAGCATCATGATAGAGTGGGAAGAGACTGAAGTTGTTAATTATTTCATCTTACTTAGATCCACAATCAACTGCACTAGTAGTCAGGAAATCAAAAGATAAGTTGCAGTGGAAAAATTGTTGTCAAGGACTTCTCCAGAGTGCTAAAGAGCAACAATGTCAGTCTAAAGCCTAAGGTATGCCTGATCCAGGCCATAGTCTTTTCAACTGTTTGCTATGCATCTCAAAGCTGGACCATGACTAAGGATGACAGAAGAAGAATCTATGCCATTTAGTCGTAGTGCAAGACAAGAGTATGCCATGGACTGCCAAGAGAAGTCCGTCCTAGAGAAAGTGAAACCAGAATGCACCTTGGAGATGCAAGGATGGTGAAACTTACTCCCACATACTTTGGGCATGTTTTCAGGAAGAGTCAGTCCTTGGAGAAGGACATCACGCTTGAAAAGTTGGAAAGGTAAAATAATAACACAAGACAACTCCCAAAATGTCCACATAGGCACCTCAGCCTCGAGTCTCATGGCTCTACGTGATTCCAATTTCTCAGTCCTGACATTATTGGCTTCCCAACCACAACTGTCCAACAAAGTTCTCAGTCCTGCCAACATTGGCTCTCTACTCATTGTCCAACAAAGTTCTCAGTCCTGCCATAATTGACTTTCTATCCAATTGTCCAACGAAGTTCTCACTCCTGCCACTACTGGCTTCACCCCATCCCGCCAAAATCTCATCTCACATCAATTCCCCAGTTTAGCCATCATTGCTACTACTGTCCCAAAATGTGTCCTACATTTCACCAGGTTGAGGGAGGTCTCTTTTCTCTGGCTAGGGAAGAATTCTCTGTTCTAGTGGGGAAAGATCTTCTCTGTAGTTAGAGATCTTCAATTTATTGTAAGGCTAGCCAAACCCCCCGTAGACTGTTGAGACTGGTCAACCTCCTTGTAGAATGGTAGATAGTCAACTCCCTTATGGAAAGGCCAACACATCCCATCCGCATAGTCCCACCCATCCACATAGCAACATCAAATAAGGGCTAGAGAAGTCATATTGAAAGACAAACTCCATGGGTTTTTAGGAGGGGCCAGTCCTTGGAGAAAGAAATCATGCTTGGAAGGGTGGAAGATCAGCATAAGAAAGGAAGACTCTCAACAAGATGGATTGACACAGTGACTGTAACAACGGGTTCAAGTATATAAGAAAAGGTAAGAACGGCACAGAATAGGGCAGGGTTCAGGGCCACCATTCATTGGTTTGCTATGAGTCATAGTCCACACAACAGTACATAACAAGAATAAATGGAACTCAGGAGAACCCTATAGTAGTTAAGTATTTAGATGTTAACTGAAAAGTTAGCAAATGGAACGTACTTATCATTCATTCCTCAAGGGAAAGATGTGGCAGTCTGCTCCTTCATAAAGACTGCAGTCTTGGAACTCTATGAAGCAGTCCTACTGT